AGGAATGCTGAGCACATATGTGCTCCAAAGATGAACAAATTGCAGAGTCATAGTTTGCCTTCTGCGTGAGACTAGACTTGGCGCTATCAAGAACTAAGGGTAAGATGGACCTTTCAGCTGAGGTTCTGCAAAAGGGATGAGTTTGAAAAATAGAGAAGATGGGGTTAAATAAAAAGAGTTTGGATTCAAGACCTGGGTTTAAGTGAGAGTTTTGAACACCACCATAGGAGGGGAGGTTATATTTCTTTATTTGATTAAAATGTTGAACTACAGTCCTTGGCTGATTTGGATATCCTAGATGAATCACGGTATGACGTTTTATATTAACAACCTTGAGGTTACTATTCCAACAGAGTATGTAAATTGGATAAAGTAATTTCATGATCAATGATAAAATACAAATTCCTTAATAATAAAGCTACTGCAAATGCCTAACACTGGAATAAATGCAGTGTATGCTTTTGAATTTTCCAACTTTTGACTGGGTGTACACGTGTGTATGCACACATACACAAGTTTATAATACATTCACATAATTAATAAACAGTTTCATGTGAGGATACTGGACTGGGTCTCATTAGATCTGGATTGTATTTCTGGCTTTCCTTTGGAGACCTGTTTATCTCAAGTATGTAACCATGTGGCTTGGAATCGAACTGTAAATCAGACACAGTATTTTGTTACCTCATAGGAATGTTCTAAGGTTCAGTTAATGAATGTTTGAAAGACACTCAAGTATTCCAATGAGTAAATACTTGCCATTTTCTTCAGTGCTATGTCTACCAAGTCCTTAATTCCTTCATCAGGATCTTCTTCTGACGGTTGTTTGAGAAGGCTGTTTCTCAGCATTTGAAACATTTCCTCTCTTGAAATGTATCCATCACCATTCAGGTCATAAACCTCAAAACAGTCTTTTGGAAAGATAAATCAATTTACAGTTCATACAAGCTACATCACACACCATTAAAGCTGTCTGTTACCTATAGATAGGAAATATGAGTTGTATGTTGTACAGCCTATCTATTGAGCTGCATTTACCGTATATAATATTTATATATTAAATATATGTATCACATTTTGATAGCTATACTAGTCAATTATTGCTTGTTTACCCTTCATAGTTAAAATCTATTTCTGCTCAAATAAATAATCTTCAGTTCACCCTAGTAACTTAGAGATCTTAACTTCTCTAATATTGCCTATCTAGAATATAAATGAGGCTCTGGTTTAGAAGCCAAATTTCCCATGGTGGGCACCAGCTGTCTGTATCAGAAAGGCTTTGCATCTTGTGATGGGTTAGCCCTTGGCTGGGCTACAAAACACATATTAGTTATTTCAGAAGCTGAGTTATAAAAGGAGAGAAAAAAGAAGAATGAGCTATACTAGCATGGAAAAGACAACTGAAGTATCCCTTAATGAAAAGAGAAAATCTCAGTAAAAGAGTATTTTAGGTATGAGTATCTGCCTAATTTAACTTCTAATTGTTTCTACCTCCCTGGAATCATAAATCTATGACCATAATAAACTTTACTCTCCTTGACAAAACTTATATAAACAAACAGGCAAACCTCTTTCAGTTTTGGAACGCAAGAGGGTTTTTTCTGTCAAAGACTAAGCCTATAGTGAAAAATTGTACTGGCATACATTTAGGACGGACAACACTGTATACCACCACACCCTGATGTATTCTACAGTGCTTACAGAAGGGCTGCATATTTTACTGCTTGTGGTTGTACTGATGTACTGAATTGCATCGCGGGCCATCTCTCAGTGCAATGCTTTATGATGAATTTATGCAGACCATTAAGGATAGCTGATGCTGCAAACTGGGAACTATGGAAACAACATGCTGTCACTCTCTCTATTATCCCTTCCCCCCCCCCCCCCCCCCTTTTTGTTTTTTTAATGGCTTCCTAAAATTCTGGAGTTCTTGCTATTTTTTCTGTCCTATCTTTCTCCATTATTACTGCAGAGGTTCTCATGATCATCTCACAAAACAGACTCAGTTTTTGCATCTGTGCTTCCAGGCTGAAGAACTGCTAGAATTAATGCAACTGCTGCTGTGTCCCCATTATGCCAGTAAATTAATGTTGGCAAAGGTCTTGGTTGGTTTGAGACTGTGTTATTCAGCCAAAATCACCCTTGAGCTACATTTGCTTCTTTCTAATTTTGTGTGTGAATACAAAAACATATATTCTGTCAAAAAGCCTGTATACTGTAAAACAAGCTTCAGTTCAAAAGTTAATTTTTGTCAGCAGCAAAATAAGGCAGCGATGATAATAGCAATTGACACAGAACAATCTTCATCTCATAGAAGCCACTCAGTATTGCTTCATTGCATTAAAGTACACAGAAGAAAACTCTTCAATTATCAAATACTTTATAACAGTAACTACTAAATTATAACAAAAGCAATGTGTAATTTAATATTCATAAATCCCATGATTGCCACTAAATAGTAACATGCAGATAAACCTTACACTTAATCTTTTCTTCCAGTGTCCCCCGGAGAAATACTGATAAGCCTTCCACCCATTCCACCACACTGATGCAGCCATTGTTGTCTTTATCAAAAATGTGGAACACTGGGAAGTGTATTACATACAATTTAAATTTACATAGAAGGGAGACATAAATATTTTCTTAACAATGACAACATCAAACTGTATTTTTTCTAAAGATGCTTCTCTGCTTTCATCAGGTATGATTACCCTTCTTGAGTCTTTCCAAGCCATAACAACGTAGGGGATTTCACCTCTCAGGCTACCGATCTTCCACTCCAGAATCCTGCTGGGATAAGACGTTTTGCTTCATCTGTTGCTTCCCTGACTTAAACGGAAATATGCTTCCATGCAGACATAAACCAAATAAACCAATATCCCTTACACTAAGGCATATTTGCATGTAGAAGATGATTTTAATTACTAGGTTTTGTCTCAGAAAATCTTGGAGAAAGTAATCCTAGAAACAATACATGAATATTTTAAATATACAAATAAAAATAACCTCCTGAATTTCATGTACTAATATTTTTTTTCTTCTCCCTTCTCTGAAATAAGAAACTTTCAGTCTTGCAGCTTCACTATTCATACAGCCTGTAATGATGTAACGTACTTCAAAGCCAAGATATAATTAAAACCATCAACTCCGATCTATTACTAATTAATATTTTAGAATGTTAATCAGTAATTCATGTACAGGAACACCTCTACGTGCAGAGCCAAGCATTTTGGAATTGGAAAACAATAGCTTTGCTTTTGCAACTGAAAAACTATTAAAATAATTTTAAAGAATATGTCCAGGTAAGGCATTTTCCAAGACAGACTTGAATTGTTGCAAAAATGGCATTTAAACATCCCTCCTGCTAGAGAGCAAGACCAAGGGGTGAGTCTTGGCGGCCTCAGATTTAAAAGAATGGCAGACTCGTGCCTCCTCCCATCCTCCTCTAGACACCTATACGTACATCAGAGAACATTCATGCAACGTTCTCGGTAACAGCAAATGTGGCTCTCATGTTAATCTGCGAAATCACTGTATTTTCAGGGGGTTGTTTGGCTCATTACTCTCATCTCCCTCTGTTGTCTGCCTAGGCCCCTCAGTGCTGGTGACAGCACCTCTGTCCCAGAGCTACCCACTCTGAACAGAACGCCCTTCTGGGACCTCCAAGCCCGACACAGAGCCGTCCACCAGCAGCAGGACTGCAGCTCGCGGTGGAACCACTGGAGAAAAGAGGAAAGTGACACCATGCCGCCCTCTTCTGTCAAGACATGGCAGTGACGGGGATGGAAGCAGCCACAGAGAGCACTACAGCTGCCTCTCTGGCTGGGCTCCCGCGCACGAAAGCGCCAGCTACCCTGAGCTACGGGAAAACTATTCGGCATAAAGAAAAAAAAAAAAAAAAGATGCCCTGTACTGGGCAGCCCCTGAGCGTAACTTCCCTTGCTGAGCTTGCAGGGGTGAGATGCCACTGTTTTCTCCAGACGCGCTCATTGGGTCAGCAAGGTAAAATTAAAACCTGACATCTTTCTCAGGCCTCCCCGCCTCACCTCTGTCCATCATCATGTCGTCCGTCATACCGAACGCGCTGTGCAGAGTCTCTCTGAACATGTTGCGGTCAAAGCCCGGCGCGGCAAAGCGGCTGCCGGACTCGGCCACCAGCGTGTCGAAGAGCTGGATCAGACACTCCACCTCGCTTTTGTTAACTGCCCGGCCGAAACACAAGCGAACATGTGTTATTATAGAATCATAGAATTATTTGGGTTGGAA